ACTTCGCACTTTGAGATTTCTTGAACAGCTTTTCAAGCTTGTGCATTTTCAATGCCACAGGGTCCACCTCGGACTCGAAGGGAGAATCCGATAGATTGATAGGAGTGGGTGCCTTGGATTGCTGAGGCAGAATCGGGGGTGGAGCTGGCCCCGTTGGGATGTCCGTATCTTCTTGGACGTTCTGGGCGTTTGGAGTCTCTTCGGGTATCGGAACCCTTAGTGGGGGAGGGACTTGCTGTGAAGCTGACGTCCCAGTTTGCTGCTGCAATCTCACAATTAACTCCGCTTGCTCACCCGTAACTGCGGCTTGTTGTTTGGCGAATTCTGCCTGTCAGACAGCGTCCTGCTGCATCATTTTCATGCTTTCCTGAAGTTGACGCACCATCTCCTCTAAGCTAGCCATACTATTCTGCTCTGGTTGAATTACTGGTATATGTTCTCTTTCTGTAGGTGCGACAGGACTCTGATCCCTACTGAACTCAGGCGGGGTAGATAAGGCCCTCTGAACTGACTGTTGAACCGATGTCCTCTGTCTATTTGCCTTCCGTTTAGTAACTGGGGGGAGAGAGTGGTACACCGGTTGTCTTGCTATCAGATCCTCAAATCGATGGAGTCGGCGACCTCTGATCCAGAGTGCTTGGGAAATATCTACTGGGTTGGAAGCAATGATGCTAAACTACCTAGCAAAAAGATAAATAAAGCAATAAATAAACCAACAACCGGACAACACAACGGCATAAAGTAAACACATAATACACAGTTGAGTATCCATAATACATAGTCAGTAAGCGGAACACACTGTCCCTCAATACTGATCACTGTTCCCCAAACTCTTTGTTCCCAAAACTGAACCTGATACCCGCAGATAACTGATTCATAAACTGATACTGATGCACTCAGGCCTACTACTCAGTCCCGCAAACTGACATGCACGTTTCTGTAGAGCCACACTCTAAAAAGCACATAGCAAGTAGAGAGAGAGCCAAAACACCCCTATATTGGGGTAGGGTTTCCCTGTCCTATTTTGTCAGGAGCTAGGGTTTCACTATGCACACAGCGGTTTTCAGACAACCTAACATCAGGTAAGCAACCTGTCCTAACTTGGAATGGTCACTATGGATTCCGAATATGCACTAGGTCGAATGGTCAAAAAGGGTGCCCCGATAAACCGGGGTTTGTGTTCCCACATTGTCAGAGCCCATAGCCGGTCAGCCTTATGGACATGCCTTAACAAGACAAGCCTCCGGCAAACCGTTCAGGAATGGCAGATGGCAAACACTGTGTTCCTAGGCGCACCAATGCAAATGCAATGCAAAGAAACAGGTGAGCGAAATCAAAACAGGATATCATGAGTTCGAGTCAAGCTCTCTAAAAATCCCCAGCAGAGTCGCCAGAAACTGTAGACGCGCCCGCGGAGGGGGGCCTCATGCTACAGTTCGGACTCGATTTGTGTCACGGTTCTTAATCTGAACCAAAGAGTCCAAATCTGGAAAATCGTTTTGAGAAACAGATTTTTGAAAAAGTAGTGCCAAACATGGACTGCTTTGCCAGATACAGAGTCGCCACCTAAATATTTTAAAATGGGGAAATTTAGGAAACCCTGACTCGGTGCCGAAGGCCACATGTCCGTCATCACCGGAGTTGTCTCGGCTTGGGAGCTTGGGTACGATCGGAGAAGGTCAGCTATGAGCACCCCCTTCCGCCCGGTCCGAAGACCGGCCTCTACTAACCATGATATCCGTTTTTGAAAACTTTACGTGTTCTTATCCCGTTATTAGCCTAGAATCACTATGTTATGCGCACAGCAAACAAGTATAGACTAGACTGCCTAATTTGGAAAGGAACATTGCATATCCGTTTGTTTTGAAAATGCTTTGGAATTTGCTACTCGCAAGTAGGCTAAAACACGGATTTCAATGAGTTTTCCCAACTCAAACAATCCAACCTTCACCCACAGGCATTCAAAACAGTTTATCTCATATAAGCACTTAGCCGCATGGCAGGCATACTATCATGGCAACACTCACACACATGCGGGATGCTAAAGCATAAATACTTACATCGTACTCCGTGCCAAAACAGTAAACTAGTTAGCAAAACGTGCGTGTCCTAGTTCATGTTAAATTGCCTAATGCAACACATACAGGATGCAATTTAGATAGGCTCGGTTAACCTAAGCATGGCATATGTAATGCGATCAATTATCACATATTCGATTTGTAAATTGAAGTACAAATGCAGTTAGCGTGATGTACCGAGCCCAATACATGTAGTACAAATGCATGAATGCACGCATGCATAGCATAAGGTATGCTGAATTTAAACATGCCCTAATCTACCATCATAAGCAGGTAAATAAAAGGGAAGAAAGAAATGGGGATTGGAAGACATACACACACTCACCCACACTTATTGCATCATTGTCCTCACTCGGAGGGTCCAAATAAATATTACAGTCCCAAATAATAAATGAATAAAATTATTACAAAATTTCTAATTAATTAAAGGGAAGGATGCAAAAGAAAGAAGAGGGTGGCCGCAGCCTCTGCCTCGGGATGCGCGAATGATGCGTGATCGGAAGCCGTCTCGCCTGAAAAACCCGTACCATATCTTCGCCACCTCTGTTTACACTGCCCTGTCTCTCTGAAAATTGCCAAAGTCTTGGAGCAGGTTCCTCACACATTGCGGAGCACCACCGGCCAGGCATAATTCCCACCTGCACTCCAGAATTTCCACCGGCTGTTGAATTGATAATCGGCACTTAAAATATTGCCGGCCGGCTCTGAATTCTGCCGGTCGGCAGAAACTTCCTGCAGAGACAGTTTTGACAGCAAACAGAGAATAGACAGTGCATGGCATGGGGTTTTCAGGCACATGTAAGCATGGTCATATTTCCTATCATGCTTTGAACTCAAGGAAGCATGTCCCTCGATCCCCGAACCATCAATGGTGCATGGTGGCTTTATGTTCGGAATGATAGTTGACTTTTTTATAATTGATTTGATAATTGCGAGATAAAAAATGAAATGATTATAGTTTGAATATAATATTTTGTGCTATTAATTATTTTAATCTATTTTTTATTAACTATTTAACTAAAAAAAGCCACTAACCTAACTTTTCAATCATTTTTAGATAAATTTTAAACAAAACCATTATTTATAGGGGGAAAAAAGGATGTAAACAAGCAAAAAAAATAATTAAAGAGTGAAACGTGTTAAGGTCCACTACAATAGCTCAATCAAGAGTCAAGAAGACAATTATCTTGGTAGGGATTATTTATTTATTTGAACCAGTGGTAGCCTAGCAGTCTATGAAGTGTGGTTCAGACACATTAGGAAGATGATAACCATTTCCTCTCGCGTGTATCTCACTTCGTGGGAAATTCTATGCTACAGTCTATCATATGCATTTTTTAGCCTCCGTTTGGAAAGTGGGTTGGATTTTTGACTATTTTAGTGTGGGACTAAAAAGCTTGATTTGGGAAGGACTTTTTGACTTTTGGACTTTTTTTGTGAGAGAGGAGTGTAATGATTATGGGTTGGATTTGATGTTTTATTTTTTGTGGCTAAAATAACATATTTTATTTTTTGTGACTATTTTAGCCCCTAACCCACCAAAACCAACTTCCCAAACTATGCCTTATTATGATTTTATGTTTACGGTTATAACTTACTGTATTATTAATTATGACACATTATAATATTAGTTATAAAATTATTTTATTTATAATTTAAGAGTTGTTTCAACTCATGTAATATAATATTTGATTATAACTCAAATTTTTTAATTAGTTATGACTCCTATAATATTGAGTTATGATATTTGTGATAATTAAATTTATAAATGGTATAATTTGCACACAAAAAAATGTACGATAACATTATCCCTTCATATATATATATATATATATCAAGAATTAAAAATATTAGTCTCAAGTTAAAATAATAAAAAAAACTAAAAAACTAATCCAGATCTTAAACGAAGCTTATATTGTAAAGTTGTGGTACATGATCATGGTTTCATCCATGAGAAAGGCAACAATAAGGGTGTTGTTGAGTTTGATTTTGAGGCAAATTAGCAGGCAAATTAGTCATTATATTCTCTAAATTGGGAATGGCTTCCCTTCAGTCCGTGATCAGATTAGAAAGTATTGTTAGGCCCGTGGAGGCCCACCACGGGTCTTGTTTTGATAATCCAAACCGTTGAATGTGTAGAACTCGTCGAATATTATATGCTTGTAAAAAATCACGTTGATCCGATATCGATAGCTACGTGATCACTTCAGTTTTTTGTAAGCCGTTTATTTTTCACTGTCCATTTTTTTCATACAAAACGAATTTGATCACATAACTATCGATATCCGATCAACGTAATGTTTTACAAACATATAGTACTCGACGAGTTCTACACATTAACGGTTCGAATTATCAAAAACGGGACCCATGATAGACCTGCTAATATATATAACAGAAAATGATGTGTACTTATCCAAACTCAAATTTCATTCCTTAGCTAGTCACTAATACTTTACGGAGATATAAAATTACAAATACCTCCATGTCAGAATTTTTTATTTAATAGAATTAATTAAAAAAGTGAAATTTCTAACTGTTCGCCTATACAATAATAAAATTATCTGAATTATTAATTGAAATAAAATTTTAAAATTATTAAAATTATTAATTAATTTGATGACATATTAATAAAATGACTTATTTATTATGAAATTAGAAACCTTAGAAAGCATAATATAATTTTTAAAATCACGGGAATAATTTATTATTTAAGTAAACCTCAAGGCTTTGTTTATAATTTGCCCAAAATACTTTGAATAACCCATCAAATTTGGATTGTTATTCAAAAGTCATTTAAAATATCTCCCAGATTGACCAGCCAAGTCTGGACCAAGAAAAAAAGCACTATATAGAGCTAATAACATTAGACACTAAACTCACAAATACACCGAATACCAAATTGTGTTGTGTTGCATGTTTATCATGGGTTCATCATCCATGAGAATTGCAGCAATTGTTTTTTACCTTTGCTTTCTCACCTTTGCAACATTTCATAATTGCTTTTGCAATGGAAACTCCAGTATTGTTTGCTCCAAAACTGAAAAGCAAGCCCTTCTAAAATTCAAGCAAGATCTTAAAGACCCTTCGAACCGGTTGTCCTCTTGGGCTGGTGACGACTGTTGTCAATGGTCCGGAGTTGTCTGCGACAACTTCACTGGCCATGTCCATGAGATCCACCTTGATAATGCTGATTGTAATTATAATGGAAATTATCCTGAATATGAAGCTTGCTGGCTTTATCACCAGTTAGGAGGTAAAATAAATCCTTCTTTGCTCGATTTGAAGCACCTCCGTCATCTGGACTTGAGCGGGAATTATTTTGGAGGGATTCGCTAGCTGGATTGGCTTGGCTCTATTGGAAGTTTGAGGTATCTCGACCTGTCTAATGCCGGATTTAGCAGAGCCATTCCTCATCAACTAGGAAATCTCACCATGATGCGTTATTTGGACTTGAGCAGGAATTCTGTTTTTCTTCAAGGTACTTTTCCTGAAATTGAACTACATTTACGCGGTGATAATTTACACTGGGTTTTAGGTCTTCTTTCATTACAACCCCTTGATATGTCATTGGTAAACCTTAGCACAGCAGTGGATTGGTTAGAGGGGATAAGCACGTTTCCTTCTTTGGTAGAATTGCACTTGGCTGAATGTGATCTCAAATATTCTTCTCCTTCAACTACCATTAACTTTACATCTATACATATCCTCGACTTTTCTGTTAACTATTTTGGACCTTCAATACCTAAGTGGATTTTTAGTTTGAATCATCTAGTTTCCCTAGATATCAGTGGTTGGAACTTTTATGGCCCAATTCCCAATGGTATTAAAAACATTACTTCTCTCAAAGAGTTTTATGCTTCTGGAAATAATCTGAATTCACCATTGCCCAAGGAGTTGTTTAACCTCAAAGACCTCGTTTCTCTAGGCTTAAGCTTCAATAACTTTCAGGGATCAATTCCAATTGGCCTTCTAAACATGACTAGCCTTAGAGATCTAGATTTATCCAATAATTTTTTCACTTCCTTGCCAAATGGGTTGTTGTCTAGTCTTCGCTGCCTCGAGTTGGTCATTCTCAACCAGAATCACTTGCAACTGCAAGGTGTAATCTCAGGAGCCATAGGAAACTTGACTTCCCTCATTAGCCTTGACATGTCACACAATCAAGTTGAGGGAAACATACCAAGATCATTGGGAAAATTATGCAAGTTGAAGACAATTGATTTATCATATAACAAATTGGGTGGAGAGCATAGTTCTAAATCGCGGTATCGGGTAACGTAATGGTATCGGTCGCAGAGTATCGGTATCGGTAGTATTGACCGGTACGTATCGGGAATCGGGTGTCGAGGCTGTGAAATTTTAAAAATCATTATCAATCCCTGTAAAACTCAATTTTATGTGTTTTTTGGCCCTTTCAGACTTAATTTATCACATTTTTATCAAAATTTTGATATATAGGAGCACTTTTAGCCTTGATTTTGATTTCAATATTTATTTTTCTTGTCTTTTTTCCCTTGCTCAACTGAGAAAATTTTGTCTCAGTTTGATATTTGCGAAGTTTATTTATCTCCCATCATGGGAGTTGTATGTAGTAGTTGTTTATTAGGTTAATTACACTTTTAATACTTGTAGTTTAATCCAAGCTTTATTTTGTTATTGATTGTTTTAAATTGTATAATTTGATTCATACACTTTAAATTTAGTTTCAATTTTATCATTTCATTTATGTTTGATGTTAAAATTAATAGTTTTGAGACACTTGTCAACCTTTTAAAGTGTACACATAAGAAAAAGGGCAAATTACCAACACCCCCTCGAGGTTTGACTAAAATACGGATTCTCCCTAAGATTTGAGAAATTACATCCCATCCCCTAAGGTTTATATTTGCATAACAAATTACCCCATGAGGTTTATATTTGCATAACAAATTGCCCTTCATTTGTTATGCAAATATAAATCCCAACGAAAAATTTGTAATTTCTCAAACCTCAAGGAGGAATTCGTGTTTTAGTTAAACCTCAAGGGGGTGTTGGTAATTTGCTCTAAGAAAAATTAATGAAAATTTGTGCAAATCACCAAATGAAAACTTGACTTAAAGTATAAAAATTAAATTATTCAAATTAAAACTATATAAATTAAAGTGAAATTTGAGTTAAAATATAAAAGTAAAAAATGTATTATCCTTTGTTTATTTATTTGTTCTCTAAGTTTGAACTTGTGGTGCTTGTTGGGCTTAATTTTGGTTGATTTTCTAGTTAAGTGGGCAAATGATTAGTTTGATATAGCACTTGTTTAGCAAGTGGTAATAGGGTTAAAATAGTGATACAAAGATAAAATAAATTAAAAGGTTAATTAGATAAAATTTCACATCTAAATTATAATCATTTTATTTTTCTCTCACAAAAGTCAAAAAAGCCAAAAAATCTATATCAAACAAGGCTTTTTATCCTAGATTAATGCCTCGTTTAGGAACAGGCTATTTTAATAATTTTTTGATTTTTTGACTAAAATATGAGATAAAAAAATTAGTATAGTTAGAATGGATTTTTGATTTTTTACGAAAATATGTATAAAAAATAAAGAGAAAAGAAAATCTTTGGCTTTTTGGTATAAATTATTGGCTTTTTAATTTTTTTAGTGACTTTTTAACTTTTAAGCTAAAATAGTGAGTTGCCAAACGAGACCTAAAATAGTCAAAAAGTCGAAAAGTCAAAAAGTTAACCCATATTCCAAACGAATCCTTTGTGACTAAAATAACATTTTACCCCCAAAATCTGTTATGCTAAACGAATGCAATGTTTCTTGTTTGGGCATTTGGCCATTTTAGTTGACTTTTTAAATTTTTTTAGCGTAGTTAAAGAAAGTTATGTTCGGAATGATAGTTGACTTTTTTATAATTGATTTGATAATTGCGAGATAAAAAATGAAATGATTATAGTTTGAATATAATATTTTGTGCTATTAATTATTTTAATCTATTTTTTATTAACTATTTAACTAAAAAAAGCCACTAACCTAACTTTTCAATCATTTTTAGATAAATTTTAAACAAAACCATTATTTATAGGGGGAAAAAAGGATGTAAACAAGCAAAAAAAATAATTAAAGAGTGAAACGTGTTAAGGTCCACTACAATAGCTCAATCAAGAGTCAAGAAGACAATTATCTTGGTAGGGATTATTTATTTATTTGAACCAGTGGTAGCCTAGCAGTCTATGAAGTGTGGTTCAGACACATTAGGAAGATGATAACCATTTCCTCTCGCGTGTATCTCACTTCGTGGGAAATTCTATGCTACAGTCTATCATATGCATTTTTTAGCCTCCGTTTGGAAAGTGGGTTGGATTTTTGACTATTTTAGTCTGGGACTAAAAAGCTTGATTTGGGAAGGACTTTTTGACTTTTGGACTTTTTTTGTGAGAGAGGAGTGTAATGATTATGGGTTGGATTTGATGTTTTATTTTTTGTGGCTAAAATAACATATTTTATTTTTTGTGACTATTTTAGCCCCTAACCCACCAAAACCAACTTCTCAAACTATGCCTTATTATGATTTTATGTTTACGGTTATAACTTACTGTACTATTAATTATGACACATTATAATATTAGTTATAAAATTATTTTATTTATAATTTAAGAGTTGTTTGGTTACAACTCATGTAATATTTGATTATAACTCAAATTTTTTAATTAGTTATGACTCCTATAATATTGATTTATGATATTTGTGATAATTAAATTTATAAATGGTATAATTTGCACACAAAAAAATGTACGATAACATTATCCCTTCATATATATATATAGATATATATCAAGAATTAAAAATATTAGTCTCAAGTTAAAATAATAAAAAAAACTAAAAAACTAATCCAGATCTTAAACGAAGCTTATATTGTAAAGTTGTGGTACATGATCATGGTTTCATCCATGAGAAGGGCAACAATAGGGGTGTTGTTGAGTTTGATTTTGAGGTAAATTAGCAATCAAATTAGTCATTATATTCTCTAAATTGGGAATGGCTTCTCTTCAGTCCGTGATCAGATTAGAAAGTATTGTTAGGCCTGTGGAGGCCCACCACGGGTCTTGTTTTGATAATCCAAACCGTTGAATGTGTAGAACTTGTCGAATATTATATGCTTGTAAAAAATCACGTTGATCCGATATCGATAGCTACGTGATCACTTCAGTTTTTTGTAAGCCGTTTATTTTTCACTGTCCATTTTTTTCATACAAAACGAATTTGATCACATAACTATCGATATCTGATCAACGTAATGTTTTACAAACATATAGTACTCGACGAGTTCTACACATTAACGGTTCGAATTATCAAAAACGGGACCCATGATAGACCTGCTAATATATATAACAGAAAATGATGTGTACTTATCCAAACTCAAATTTCATTCCTTAGCTAGTCACTAATACTTTACGGAGATATAAGTGAGAAAGATGAAAGATTGTAACATTTTCCTTTGGATTGTTACACAAAAGTCATTTAAAATATCTCCCCAAATTGACCAGCCAAGGTCTGGCCAGGAAAAACGCACTATATATAGCGCGAATAACATTCGATATTAAGTCACAAATACACCGAATACTAAATTGTGCTGTGTTGCATGTTTATCATGGGTTCATCATCCATGAGAATTGCAGCAATTGTTTTTTACCTTTGCTTTCTCACCTTTGCAACATTTCATAATTGCTTTTGCAATGGAAACTCCAGTATTGTTTGCTCCAAAACTGAAAAGCAAGCCCTTCTAAAATTCAAGCAAGATCTTAAAGACCCTTCGAACCGGTTGTCCTCTTGGGCTGGTGACGACTGTTGTCAATGGTCCGGAGTTGTCTGCGACAACTTCACTGGCCATGTCCATGAGATCCACCTTGATAATGCTGATTGTAATTATAATGGAAATTATCCTGAATATGAAGCTTGCTGGCTTTATCACCAGTTAGGAGGTAAAATAAATCCTTCTTTGCTCGATTTGAAGCACCTCCGTCATCTGGACTTGAGCGGGAATTATTTTGGAGGGATTCGTATTCCTAGTTTCATTGGCTCTATTGGAAGTTTGAGGTACCTCAACCTGTCTAATGCCGGATTCAACGGGGCCATTCCTCATCAACTAGGAAATCTCACTATGATGCGTTGTCTGGACTTGAGCGGGAATTATTTTGGAGGGATTCGCATTCCTAGCTTCATTGGCTCTATTGGAAGTCTGAGGTATCTCGATCTGTCATATGCGGGATTTAGCAAAGCCATTCCTCATCAACTAGGAAATCTCACCATGAAGCGTTATCTGGACTTGAGCTGGAATTATTTTGGAGCGACTCGCATTCCTAGCTGGATTGGCTTGGCTCTATTGGAAGTTTGAGGTATCTCGACTTGTCTAATGCCGGATTTAGCAGAGCCATTCCTCATCAACTAGGAAATCTCACCATGATGCGTTATTTGGACTTGAGCAGGAATTCTGTTTTTCTTCAAGGTACTTTTCCTAAAACTGAACTACATTTACGCGGTGATAATTTACACTGGGTTTTAGGTCTTCTTTCATTACAACCCCTTGATATGTCATTAGTAAACCTTAGCAAAGCAGTGGATTGGTTAGAGGGGATAAGCACGTTTCCTTCTTTGGTAGAATTGCACTTGGCTGAATGTGATCTCAAATATTCTTCTCCTTCAACTACCATTAACTTTACATCTATACATATCCTCGACTTTTCTGTTAACTATTTTGGACCTTCAATACCTAAGTGGATTTTTAGTTTGAATCATCTAGTTTCCCTAGATATCAGTGGTTGGAACTTTTATGGCCCAATTCCCAATGGTATTCAAAACATTACTTCTCTCAAAGAGTTTTATGCTTCTGGAAATAATCTGAATTCACCATTGCCCAAGGAGTTGTTTAACCTCAAAGACCTCGTTTCTCTAGGCTTAAGCTTCAATAACTTTCAGGGATTAATTCCAATTGGCCTTCTAAACATGACTAGCCTTAGAGATCTAGATTTATCCAATAATTTTTTTCACTTCCTTGCCAAATGGGTTGTTGTCTAGTCTTCGCTGCCTCGAGTTGGTCATTTTCAACCAGAATCACTTGCAACTACAAGGTGTAATCTCAGGAGCCATAGGAAACTTGACTTCCCTCATTAGCCTTGACATGTCACACAATCAACTTGAGGGAAACATACCAAGATCATTGGGAAAATTATGCAAGTTGAAGGCAATTGATTTATCATATAACAAATTGGGTGGAGAGCATAGTTCTAAATCGCGGTAT